TCCTAGGAAAATTCTCCATGTTCGAACTCGTATCAAATCTCTCACTCGAACAATCATTAAGAAAATGGTAAGTGACGAATTCCGAATCCTCTCAGCCCCACACTGTCGTGCTGCCCGCGCCCTCACCAAAAGTAGAATTAGATCTTCACCTAAAGTCCCACCTCTTTCTGCTAATGGCTGTCTTATAACCTCTGAACACGAAAAATCCACCCTTTTCACCAAAACATTCTCTTCTAATTATAATCATCTCACTTCATCCGCATCCATCTCTCCCGCAATAAGTCATCAGCATCTTCCTTTTTCTGGCTCTGACCTTGAAATCTTCGATCCCTGGATAATTGAGAAGCTTCTTCGCAAACTCCCGCCTCGTTGTGGCTATTCTCCCCATTCGACCAGGTACATCATCAACTTCTCATCCAGAAACTTGCTAGCTTTGGAATCCCTAAATCTTACGTAGCTTGGTTCTCCTCGTTTCTCTCTGGTCGAACGTTCTCTGTCAAAATCTATGATTTTATTGGACCTCCTTCCTCTGTCATTCCCTCTGGTGTTCCTCAAGGATCAGTCTCCGGTCCCTTACTATTTCTCATATTCATCAATGATCTGCTCTTAGAACTTGAACAAATTCCCTCTCTTCACCTTGCCGCCTTTGCTGATGATATCAAACTGTATTCTCATGACCCAATCGCCCTTCAAACTGGTATCAACATGGTTGTAAATTGGGCTTCCGCCAACCATCTCCCTCTTGCCCACTCTAAAACTGCCCTTCTTCGCCTAGGTTCCCATAATTCTTCCCATCCTCTCAATATTGCGGGTGTCACACTTACTCCCTCCTCCTCCGTCCGAGACTTGGGACTCATTACTGATTCCTCTCTCAAATTCTCTGCTCACATCAACAAAATCACATCTTTAGCTCTTCTCCGCTCCAAACAACTCTTAAAGTCATTTAGATCTAAGTCTCCAGAATTCTACATTCATCTTTCCAAATGCTATGTTCTCCCGATTCTTGAATATTTTTCTGTAGTTTATTCCCCTCCGCCTTCTTCTCGCCTTGCTCTAAAACTAGAATCTCCCTTAAGATTTTTCTCTAAGTGTATTTTCCAGCGTTGTAATATCCAGTACAGCTCCTACTCTGATCGTCTCTCTATCCTCAATATGTTCTCCATTCGTCATCGTAGGCTAAAAGCTTAACTAATTCTTCTCCATAAATTGTTAAATGGCTCCGCCTACTTTCCTAACCTTAATGCACATGTCAAATACTCCTCCTCCCCTCGTCGCCCTATGAACTTAATTATTGTTCAGCCCTACTCCTCTGACTATTTTTCTTCAATTGTTCCCATGTGGAACGCCATCACTTCCCAAGTTACCCGATTTCTCCTACCTTCCGAGTTTGAATCCTTAATTCCTTCCAGTATTACCCGCTATTGATTTATTTGCTCCCTATTTTTTCTTTTCTCTTCTTATACCGGTTCATTGTTCCTGTGTCAAATATCTTAATTATCCCGTTTCCCCTCCCCTACTTAGATCGGCCTCGTGAGGGGCATTCTTTCTGAGTCTTTCATGTCCTGCCCTCTATTGTTTCATTACCTGGTCAATAAATTAATTCAATTAAATTCAATGCACAAAAATCTACTTTTTCGTAATCTTATCTCATCCGATTTCTCCTTGACAGCTATTGTTTCACATCATCTCTTCTATACTATTTTCTCCACCATCACCACTTTTGTCTGTTGTGTATTGTACTACGCTGTAGGGTCAAAGATAAGACACACTAGTTATGTGTCTGCGTATTTTCAATCAGAATACTATTTTGTCATACCTGTTTCCTTTTTACCTCGCGTGTTGGAAGACATTATTAATTGTTCGATATTCTTTTTTCAAAAAAAAAGTTTAACGATTGCTCATTTTCAGCTCATAATAATGCTCGCATCCGCGTGGGAATTTGCTAAACGAAACAAAGGAAAAATCATTGCCGGTAAGTCAACGATTTTAAATGAAGTGGTATTTATGTCGAAATTTCTTTCAGGTGGAGTTTTGGTTGGAAGTGCTATTGCATATATAAGTACGTCATCAAAATCCGTAGTTTTAGAGAAACACACAACAGCAGCAGAATTACCAAATCAAGTAAGATATTCACTCTGAAAAAAATCATTTTAACATTACGAAAGTTTTTTCAGGCTCGAAGGCACTACATCTTTGATTCCACTCACCGATCTTGTGATCAATCCATCACAGACCTCATTCCATCAGTTGTCACACAGATTCAGGTATTTTCAAAATTGGAAGTATTGTTTATATACATACAATTTAGGCTCGATTCGATGTTGAAACCATACAAGATAAGCTGAAAAACACGCCAGATCTCACAGCAGAGCAGAAGATTCAACTATGGGATCAGCTGAAAGTAAATTCAATAGAAGTTAGAAAAAAACTGAAATTTGAATTTCAGAAAAATGTGTTTTGTCGAATTGTCTCTGTTGCATTTGGATTCTCAATTCTTACTTTGACTCTAAAGGCGCAAATTTCCATTTTGGCAGCAGATACTTGTGCACAGTTTGAAGAAAGGAATAAGAAACCGACATGGTGTGAAATGAAGCTCATATCCGAATTTTATATTTTCCAATTCAGGCAAAGTTACATACCAGAGTCAATGAGCTCCATGTTTGTCAAGAACGGGTCAATTCAGACAGATAATCCAATGGATATAGGAAATCGCAGAATTTTTTTGCAATGTGTGCAATATTTCACCCTTCGAGGTAACACCGAGCGTTCTTCTGAATTTTACATTATCTAATTTTTAGGTATTCCTGAGCTTATGGAATTTGTTGCTGAAGCCGTATCTGCAGAACTGCAACATTGGAAACTGACAGATGTCAAGACGAAACATGAAATGCGAGATTTCTTCGACAAGGTCTCATACAGAATCAGTTTCTCTGGATTGCTGACAAAACTGGTTGCTCCATTAGATGAAGATGTGGTAGGGAGCCATATTTCAAAAAAATTTTAAATGAATTTATTCATTTCAGAATGCGGGCTCATCAGTAATGAAACTTCTGCTGAAGTTGACAAATAATTTAGAATCCAGCAAAAGTATCCACGTTTTGAGCAGCTTACTTGACTTCTATTTTTCTGCCGCGCTCAAGGTATTTATAAAATATTATTCAATAGTTGAAAACCTATGAAAAATTTTCAGATGGTTGGTCAGGAAGAGCAGTCGCTTGTCAAATATGTTCCAGCGTTCTCCAACTCGTTCCCAGTTTTGACGTCTACTGCATTCGACAGTCCCTTATTCAATTCGTTGTATTCTTCAGATATCCATCAGTTTTCTGTTTATGTTTTCAACTCATAAAACCGAAAAATGCTAATGTATGATAATTGTTTTGTTTGAATTGATGATTTTGACTTTCTCTTTCTCCTACCGACGATTGTTTCCTGTTTGAAACTGTGTTTCTCTAAATTTGCAATCTAATTTTCTTAATGAAAGTGTCCACGAATTATGTTTTCTAATAGATAGTTGACTGATTCAGTAAAAGACGATAGTTTCATAGTTTTTTCAGCTTTGAAATTTGCTTTAATCAGTTTTTCGGTAGCCAGAAGGGAATTTGTTTTGGTCAGTTTCACTTTTCTGTACTATAAGAGAAAGAAAGTGCAATTCTGATCATCTAAACATTCCATATCATCATCACCTCATCGTCCTTGACCATCACCTTCTTCCGCGTCTACAACAGATCGATATCTAGCCACTCTCCATCTTTATAAAGTCTGCACTTTGGAACGCAGCTATCTCTAGTTTTCAACGAAACACCCATATCTTATCACAGAATTTTTCATGCATTTTTGTGTAAAGTTTTCTTCAATGTCTCTTCAGTTAACTTAGAAGCAATAAAAGTTTCGCCTCTCGCCGGGCTAGCCATCCCTAACTCTATTCTTTCTCTTCAATTTCTTTTCAACAACTCATCCCACCTAGTGTATGAGATGCGACTGTTGTTGTTTGTTGTTTTCAAAAATTTTCTTCGTTTTTTGAAAATTATTATTCTTCAATTTTCCATTACTCGAATTTTCTAGGTATGGCGGAAGGACAAGCACCAGCACCACCACAACCAGAGGGGGATCAAGAATGCATGTGCACCCAGGATAAGGTTCTCCAGTTTCTGAACAAAATGGCTGATGTGAGTGGAAACTTGAACTTTAGGGAAAGCATTGAAAATCTGAATTTTAGGAGAGTGGAATTAAAGATTTGACTGATCCAGCTCTCGCCGAGTTTCTGACCGATAGTGATGCGCTGAAAGGAATTAGAGATCTTTTCCACTATCCGAAGGCTGGAACTCTTCCGGATGGTGAGCAATTGATACCTGCATCTAATAAAAACATTAATTTTCAGTTGATCCTACCCTTGTTGACCCAAATGCTGATAGCATTTACCTCTGTGGTAATTCTCTTGGACTAATGCCAAAAGTCACTGAAGAGGTTATGAAAGAGCATTTGGATAAGTGGGCTAAGATGTGAGTCCTAAAATCTAACCGCTGAATTTTAATCTATCTTCTCAGGGGAGTCTTCGGACATATGACTGGAGAAGTTCCATGGGCCCACTCCGATGAGCACTGCCTTGAAGGTGTCGGCCGTCTTGTAGGAGCTAAGAAGGAGGAAGTGTCAATAGCCAACAGTCTCACTGTCAATATTCACGTTTTATTAGTAAGAATTCATTGTTTTGAAAAAACGAATTGGTTTACTTCAATTTTCAGACGGCCTTCTACAAGCCAACCGAAACTCGCCACAAGATTCTTTTAGAGTCTAAAGCTTTCCCATCTGATCATTACGCCATTGAATCTCAAATCCGTCTGAAAGGAAGAACCGTCGAAGAAAGTATGGTGTGCATGGAGCCAAGAGAAGGAGAAGAGACTCTTCGCACCGAAGATATCATCGACTACATTGAAAATAATGGAGATGAAATTGCTATCGTCTTTTTCTCCGGAATCCAATACTATACTGGACAGCTCTTTGACATCAAAGCAATCACTGAGGCTGGACACAGAAAAGTAAAATAAAATTAAGATATCAGTTCCACATGTGAATTGTTTCAGGGCTGCCTCGTTGGATGGGATCTGGCTCACGCTTTTGCCAACGTCCCACTCCATCTTCACTGGTGGGATGTGGACTTTGCTGCTTGGTGCTCTTACAAATACGGATGCACTGGGGCTGGGTCCATAGCTGGACTCTTTGTCCATGAGAGATTCTTGCATGACAAGAGAGATCGTATGTTGGGATGGTGGAGTCACAAGATGTCCTCGAGATTCACAATGGACAATGGTAAAATTCTGACGAATTTGATTGCTAATTGTTGTTTTATACTTTCAGTCCTTGACCTTGATGAAGGAGCTGCGGGATACAGAATCAGTAACCCACCAATTCATTGCGTGGCTGCTATGCTTGGAAGCTTAAAGGTACCTGATTTAAGTAATTATCTTTTAGAAAAAATAATGTTTCAGATCTTTGATCAAGTCTCCCTCGAGAACCTTCGCAGTCGTTCTTGCTACCTTACTGGATACTTGGAGTATCTCGTCAAGACACTCTTCGGAGAAAACTCAGAGCAAAGAACCACTAAGCTCTCTATTTTGATCATCACTCCAGAAAACTTCCATCAACGTGGTTGCCAACTTTCTCTGAAATTCTCCTCTCCAATCGACGTCATTTATCCAGAGCTTGTTAAGCGTGGTGTAGCGGTATGCTCTCATAACTCTGCTTTCAACAAGAAATGTTGCTTTTCAGGTCGACAAGAGATACCCCAACGTCATCCGTGTTGCTCCAGTCCATCTTTACAACAACTACGTTGACGTTCGCAGATTCATCTCTGTGCTTCAAGAAGTTGCACATATCGTCGAAGATCACGCTTAATGTGTTATTTCTGATTTGCTTTAGTACGTTTGTTGCCTTTGCCATATATGAATCATAGAGAAATACTTCATTGGCTGCAAACTTTTGTAAAAACCAGTTTATCTGTGATATGCGACCATTTCTAAAAGACTACAAAGATCTAATGATTGATCATTTTTATATCTAAAGATTTGCAAATCCCTAAACTTTATTATTGTGGCGAAACTAAACAATAATTTCTCATTGTTTTTACGTTACGTAATAATATATACACAAACTGTTGAAATCGGAGCCACGTAACATTATACCTCTTAACTTGATACCTGTAAAAGATTGAACATTTGTTAGCTCTGTTATAAACAATAGATTTTTAAAAATATACGTTGATTCTTTCCAATCAAAAAAAAACCAGAAACTTAATTTACAAGAATTCATTGTTTGTTTCAAATGAACTGGTGGAAAAAAACAAACTAATACACTTGAAGACAAAATAAAACACAAAAATTTCACTTTTTGTTTCATACTGTTCACCGATACTTTCAGGTGAATAAACAAAAAGTGGAGATTGTACAATCGGGAAAACTAGCAAAGCTCGTTTTAGGACACAAATGGCAAATCAAAAGGAATTGCAAAAAAAGCTACTAATCAAGTAGAGTCATTGGAAAACGTTGTACAATTCACAGAATGTGTGGGGTGACTAGGGACAAAAAACTAGTATGAGTTGATCAAGTGTTTTGATCGACCAGCAAGCAATTTGAATAGGGTTGGAAGTCAAGTTGAAATATGACAGCGATTGGAATGTGTGGGTGGGAATACAGGGAAAAATATTCTATAAAAATACAGATGAAATATGTACCTGCATTGTGAAAGAAAAAGAGCACAAACAAGCGAGAAATGAATTGCGAAAACTGGCTAGATGGGCACCATGGGGTCATAGAAACTTGGGTTGAAGAGTGTTGTTGACTAGAATAATACGTGAACATGAAAGTACGTAAATATTACATATGAGAAGATAAACGCGGGTTGTGAACAAGAATATTTACTTGGGACCGGTTGAATTGGCATCTGATGAGCTTCCGAAGAGAAGGGTCACTTTTTGAAGGTGATGACCAAAGAAGATGGCCAAGAAAAGTAGTCCAAAAGCCATGGCGGAACGGTTACGGGATCCGGTCAATGGGCGAACGAGGTCGAGAATCGAGGCGACAACGAAGAGAGCAATTTTGAGGAGCTCGACGACAATGTTACCAGCTGTGAGAGCCACGCGTTGCCAGACATTGCTTGTAAGCTTCACTTGTCGGACATCCACCAATGCGTTCTCGATTCTGACCATCTAAAAAATGAGAATTGGTTTTAACTGACAGGGAAAGAATGGAGAAGTGAATCTGAAAATGCGCTATTCATATTGAAAGCCTGGTATATTTCCCAAACCTATCATACTTCTTCTAATAGAAGCCCATCGGAACTGTCCACGTTGAGTTCATTTATCTCAGTTCTTTCAAAAGATATCAAGAATCTGTCTACTGATTAAATATTGGCGATATTATGAAAAAATGTATCTGTTAAAAGCTTCAAATATATCTCATATTAACGCAGATGATTGATTTAAAAATTTCGGGTTTGTGTGGGCTTCTATTAGAAGAAATACGGTAATCTGGAATCCCAAGAGGAAGTTTTTACCCAAAAATTGTGATAATAGGCAGTGGACCGAAATTGAGCCTTTCAGAAGCTCTAGATAAAAACCTGAAGCGCAATTCTTTCTTGGCATCGTTCGCCAAGCTGACACAACACCCATTATTCATCAATCAAAAACTTACGTGATTCTGCAAAGACTCCATATTCTCCTCAACAGTCCGGAAGCGATCATTGTGCTGATAGTCGACACGTGTCGCCATCAAGTTCTGCTCCTTTAGCGCAGCAATCTCAGCTTGCTGCAATTCGACAGCCTCATTGAGCAATTCCTCGAGCTTCGTCGTCTTGAAACGCTCCTCTTCCAAAGCTTCAGCGTAGAAACGGATTTCCTTTTTGATCTCGTCCTAAACAAAATTTAATGAAATTTCATAATTTACCGCAATTCTTACCTCAAGTCTGTCATATTTTCTATCAATCATGAGCAAGTGATTCAGAATTCCGTTGAGATGATCGTGAATGGCACTGAAGCCATCATCGCCGTTCGTCGGTCCGTGATTGTTCGAGTTAGCATTGCTAGAGTTGAAGTAGAGACTGTTGTCGCAAGTGTGGTACTGAAAATGTGGTTTTGAGATTCCGAAATATGGAAATCGAAATTACAGGCAAGTTGGAAGTCTCATCTGCAACACTATCGGGACGTGAGTCTGGTGAGCTATGCTCCTCAATCTTGAAGGTGCTAACGGGCTCCAAAGTGCTAAGCGTAAGATTTGGCGGCAACGTGGAACTTCCACGCACAGACTCGCGATTCTTCTTTTCTTTATGTTCGGCATCCTCAGCGTCGGCACTTTTGCGTGCAGTGGTGAAGAACGTGGATTGTCCGGTCTTTCCAACTGAAATCAGAAAGCCATTTTGAGTGAGAGCGTACATCGGTTTTGCGGGGTTCCAGAAAGAACCTTGTGTGACACATCGGAACGCAAACATTTTTCCGAATTTGGCGCAGAGATTAGATATGTTTATCAAGCAGATTGAGAGTGAAACGTTTGGCATATTTTCTTTCGAAATGTACTATGATGTATTACAAAGTCAACTGATGAGGCATATCTGCGCAAATATCATCCAAGATTTTCTGTATAAAACATGCCTCTCAAAGGGAAAAATTCACATTTTCTCTCGTCAAAGCTTAAAGCATGTTTTCTACAAAATCTGTTTTTTTCCTCGTCCTTCTCCCAGTTGTCGCTTATTGCTATAAGTGTGCAGTATCTGACAGCGCCACTGACAACGGTGTCTCAGATTGCTCATCGTCTAACTTCTGTGTCACGTGAGTTCATTGATTTGTTATACTTTCAAATACTAAATATTTCCAGCATGGAAGAGTACAATGCCAATGGAGACTGGGTCAAGGAAGTCAGACAATGCGACCATATAAATTGCCGAGTGAGTTTTTCAATTTTTTTTCGAAAATTTATTTAATTTTTTTAGTCCAACGGAAAGCGCAGCGTCTACAACCCAGCTGGACTTACTACCACAACCTATGATTGCTGTACTGGAGACTACTGTAACAGTGCTACAAGCAAAGGACTTATTGCTCTCCCTGTCCTAATTTTGTCCTATGTTCTTTTCAAGTGATTCTAATAAAACTCATTTGTTGTTGATGGCGTTGTTTTCTTACCTCCAACATTTCCATTATGAGTACTGCTCACATTGTCTGCCGAGAAAGCCGACTTGACACGTTGAGCCAACTCAATTGGGGCATTTACCATGGTTTCGGTCATTCCCTTTGCTTTTCTGAAACAACGAGCAATGTTAGTTAAAAGGGAGAAAAAGAGAAAAAAAAATTGGGATTCAAAATACTGGAGGAGACATTTAGATGCCAAAGTAGTGGTGGTAGTCAAGGGAAGCATCTACTCGAAAAGAGGGTGAATGTCGTTTTTCGAAAAAAAAAACCAATCTATATTTTGTCGCTTTTTTTCTCTAGATTGGATTCTAAAATATAACACGCTACATTTTGTCAATCACAGAAATGGCAATGAAGCTAGAAATGTCGTTTTTGGCAGAAAGAAAATTTTCTTTTCCTATCAGCCTTCCCACACAGAATGGATTTGATAGGATTCCGTTTATTTTAAGGACTTGTGAAAAAATCAAAATGTTCGAATTTCGCTCAAATGCCATTCGGTTTTGCAGATGTCTTTTGTGTGAGATGGCATTTAGTTTTTTTTTCGATTTTTCAAGAAAATTGAATGAACATCCTCCGGATGCACCAGAGCACAATTAGCTCTGAGTGAAGGTTCTGGAGGATGGGCGGTTTCCGTTTGTTCCTATCGCTCTTATCAATGTCATGGTACGAATCAGGCAATAAAAAGGGACGGTCCTATTTGCATAAATCATACCGTTCCTTTTTTTTCCTATCACCGATACATACCAACCTTCTCCTTATCTTTTTATTTTTTGCTTTCTGAAAATCCATTGTTATAGCTCACCTTATTCCGACCGGAAACACACGCGATTTCGACGGACTTGGCTCATACTCTCCGGCGTCGACCTGCCTCAGGCGCTCCTCGTAGTCAATCAGCTTCTTCTGGAATAAGGAAATTGTGAGTTGTGAGAAGTAAAAGTTTTGGGGAAAAAGAATTTGACTAATGATGTGTTAGGAAATGGATCTAGAAGAGTAGAAAACTTGCTTATGTGAAAATGGCAACTTGGCTTTAAGCTAATTGTTATAGCAGTGAGTATTTTACACTCAAACTAAATGCTAATATTCTTAAAGTTACAGTTGGCTGAGGAGAGAATTTAACTGACAGATGTATTTTGCTCAGCTAATCAGTTCAACATATACTTCCCTTTCATTCATAGTGGGAGTGAAGAGATTCAAAAAGACTAAATTCTTTATCTGTTCTTACTAACTTTGTGCAAGCGTTCGGCTGAATTGGTTCCTTACAGTTCAGATCCCTATGGCCTAGTAACCGAAAAATATTTTGAAAACATTTTTTTAAAATTTCTGAACGATATCAAAAAATGTTCAGCTGGAAAAATATTATTGATTCATTAGAGATTATACGGTAAAACTCTAGCCTCCGTATTCAACACAGTTTCTAGCAGTAGCTCTATTCTACATATATATCCATATTACATTTTTATACAGTAACCTCAATTTTCGATATTTTTTAATGATTTACTCAGATTTTCCTCTTACCTGAAGTGTCTCTGTTTCCTGTGTATGTTTTTTGTTTTGTCTCTCAAAGTTGTTTCTGATACGAGCTCTTTGCGGGTTGTCTGGTCCGATGCCGCGTGACATTTCCGACTGTTTCGTGACTGTGAGGAACTTCTCCACGTCGGCTGAAAAATAAAATGAACAGTTTTCATTAGTCCATTTTCGGGATACTCACCTTCTCGTTTCTCGTTCAATGCTCTGAGCTTGTCTTTGATCTCCACCAACTTTTGTACAATTTTCGCTTTTTCTCGCTCATCCCCAATCGAGCTACACGCTCCCTCTGAGGATTTCAGACTTGCCGAGTCTGTTGTCATCTGGAAGAGGCGCATGTTTGAACAAATCCAGAATATGTAGATAAAGAGAAGTTCAGTTTTTCAAGATTGAAAAAAAGTGAATTGAGAAGGGAATAGGAAGACAAGTGACAAAGACCGATTTGAACGTACTGATTCGAAATCTGATATCGAACAGGAAAAAAGAAAAGCGAAACTAGCGAAAGGGTCTTGCTTGTTGCCCCCCGATGATGCCCCCGTGTATTTCCACCGCTGCAAGCTTCTTCTTCTTTTTCTTATTCTTTCTGTTCGCTAGTCCCGCCACAAAGAAACCAAAAACAGGCTACACTTTTCCTTCCAAAAATGGTGGATTGACCGATAACTCTTATCGGCACTTTTGAGAGAAAATCGGAGAACTTTGATAACGATTTTTGTAATGCCTTTTATCACTAAAATTCAATCATACCACCAATCCATCATTAGGAAGAAAAATGAAGATCGAAGGGAAGAAACGAGAAATTCTTTTAGAGGATGACGATAGTATATATATATACCAATAACAACATGATTCATCGTCACCCTCTCTCTGTTCTAATGGACTTTGTAATGCAAAAAAACGTTTGATGAAACATTTCCGGCTTTAAAACGCACTCAAAAACAGGAATCAAACAATTTTTTCTGGTTTCTCACTCTGGTCAACATAAAAAGAAACAGTCTGATGACTCATATTGTTATTGAACAGAAAAAATAAACGGGACAAAGTGCGCTCTGTCCTCTTTCCAACCTTAAAACTTACGCAATGAAATTTGCGATTCCCGAACATTCAGGAATATCTTATCAGTAATCAGACGACATTTTTCATGCCCAAAGAAGTGAAATCGGAATAATAGATTTTTGAGAGAAGCGAGCGAGAAAAAATGTGTTTCCAACACCCCACACTTTTCCCAATTAGCCGATATTCACAATGCATAACAAGAAGTGATGAGAAATAATAGTAAAAAGGAAGTCACTGTTTTCGATAAAAATCAAAATAACATATTAGAAGTTGTGTGGGGAGAGGGACACAGTAAACTGAAGAGTGTGTCAACACTCAACAGGGTTGTCCAAAACGAACGCAAGTGTCGCTACCGTAGATCAAACCTATTGAAGGCTGACTAGTTTGACCATTGGTTGTCACTTCAAAAAAAACTCATAAAGTGATGGTAATGGAAGTTGCTCATATGTGAAAAATACTAGTGAAATTGAAGTTTGAAGGTCTCCTGCACTTCTAACCGGAACATAATTCATGACGATAGAATAGAAGAATAGAAAACGAGTGAGAGCAAGAAATGTTTTACTTCTATGGGTTGTTTTTTCGGACCAAAAGCAAAATAGTGCATGTATTCGCCTTTTCCAAGTATGTAAAAGCTATCCATCCGGGATGTGAAAAGCCCAACATGGAGGGTCCAAAAGACTCTGTTAGTTGTGAAATGACTCTGGGCTATGGGAGGGCGTTGATGTCAATCAAACCACTTTTGAAGATTGACTAAAAAAATTTCTTAGTTTTTTCTTCTTCCATCTTAGTCAACAGGAAATAAGAGGGAGGAATCAAGCGCATTTTCATTTGCCCGTACCCGGTCGTGAAAAGATGGAAGCGGAGGGAATAAAAAACTTCTGCAGGCAGGAAAACTACGCAAATGGAGACAAAAAACGGGGTAGGGAAGAGGATTGGCGGAGGCCGGACGAACGGACTCTGGCGGACACCGCGCAGTCCGATACAAACACTCATTTCTCACAAACCGCATTTAGGGAGTTCTATGAGGCGAGGATAGAAAAGAAATAGAGGCAACAAAACTGAAGGAAAACTATTGGGAAAAAGCCGTCAAAACAAAATATAGGGGTTAGAGTTCAACTTTTTTTTTTCGTTCTATGGGGATGCTTTGTTCCGAAAAGCTAGTGAAAACGAGGCTCGAAAATACAAATTTCAGAACTGTCAAAACGAAACAAGCACTGAAAATGTAGACAGTGGACAAGGCGGGTAAGTACTTTTCTTATCAAAAATTTCTCCCCTCCTCCACCATTTTTTATTTCCAAAACTACACCGTTGACCATTATTCAGCCCTACTCAGAAATTGCATTCTGATCGGTGGAATGCAGGGGGTAAAGTTCTCTTTTTTGTTAGTTTGTTGAGATTACAATTCTTTGATTAATTAAAAGAAAAGAACATGCGAATAGAATGAACTGGAATACTCTATAGTTCCAAATTTCAACGAAAAAAGCGATGCTACGTCAATTCTTATCAAACAGTACGAAATACTCAAAAAACAATGTTAACCCATGCGGAGAAATTGTTATTCTTCCCCCCCCCCCCCCCCCAGCTACTGAGCACCCCGATGTCTGGTCAATCACCAAGAGAAAACAGTAAACAATACAGAGCGCCGCATCAATCAGAAATTTAGCTTACTTGGTTTATAGAAACAATTCATTTTTTTGCTCACTAGCTTTGCCAGAAGAAAAAAAATGGAATATACAGATTAGAAGTTTTATCTATTAGAAGTTTTATCTAGCTAAAACTATGAATTTACTCTTGCCACTATTTATTTTTTTTCAATGCCTGAATTTAATCAAACGGAAGCATTTTCAATTTCCGATGCCGGTAGCGCACGCGATAAACGTTTCGAAATAAGCAATCACTCAAAATAGAATGCCATACCCATTCCATAAAAAACAATAAATGACCTTGCGAGCATACAAACGCTATATACTCATTGAAAACGAGGCGAACAGCTCAATAAAACCCCCAACGAAAAAGAAAATTAGCTCGGAAACCGGTCGAAAAGAAAACAACAATATTAAAAACCCCAATAAAAACAAAAGAATGGGTTATGCCAAACGATTTACCCGGATGGACAATGTCCCCCACCCGACAAGGGTACGCGCTGTACGCAAACACACACGCGCAACGTTGCGGACCTCGTATTGTTTTGTTTTATCGGAGTGTTCGCGGGGTCCCCCCTCTTACCCATAGTCCTCTCATCTCGAACAGCTGTGCAATGCGGCGATCCCTCATTAGATTAGTCTCGTAGCAGGAGTCGTCGTTTTGTCGTTTCGTCTGATGAAAAGAAGATTTGTGAGGTGATATCTGGCGGCAAGAGTTGTATAAAGATGGTCATAAATATTTTTTATTATCATGGACACTTATTCATTATAAAGATAACAAAATACATTAGGTTGAATTACAGAAAATGGGTGAATGAGTACAAAAGCAAGTGACTAACAGGTTCCATATTTTTTTCGGGGTTTCGGAATCACACATATGACTGGAAGTTTTTTTATACAGAACAGAAAATAATAAGGGGAGGAGACTAGAAAGATGAATACTTTGTCCAATACACATTCCTTTCATTAAACAATGTACTTTAAACTACCTATAAAAAAGAAAAGAGAAGAATTTCTCGAAAATCGGAAGATGGTGGTGTAATCAAGAGTGATTAGATAATATTTCTTGAGTGATTGATGTTGTGAAATGTTGCCGATTTTTTCAAAAAAAAATTCTAAGAGAGTTGCATATATCAAAATGCAGAGTACCCGCTTTAGCAAACAAGGATAATATTATTATGATGAAAAAATCAGAGAGCAACAAAAAACTCAGTGAATGATAGGGAAAAAAACGCTTGAAAGGTCTAGATGATCAAACTGTACATAATAGCATTACAATCGAAACGGTTGATAAACTCGCTGCCTTTCTCTTTTCGATACGGCAATTGATCTTCTGTTTTTGTTGTTGTTGTAAGGGATTATAATTAATCTAGCAGAGACTGTTCGTAGGTTTGAGAACTGAACAAACACCCGGATTATATATATACAACCACGCTCATGAAACAACTCACGGTTTCTTCATTAGTTTCTGATGGGGGTAATCCACTTGGTTGTTCGATGATTCATCGGATATCACTCGTCGCGACACATTGGCATCCGAGTATGCTTTCGCGAGAAATCTGCAGAAGAGATTAATTATTTTTTTGATGGAGCAGCAATGGGATGACTCACTGCTCATCCACAACTTGTGGCTCATTGTTATCCTTATCTTTTTTTTCCTCCTTGGGGATCGCCTCGATATCATAGCTATCAAAGTCAGAGTTGAGAAGAAGATAGTTGTGAGAGTTTGCGGGTCGGAACTTGTATCCAACCACAATGAAGAACAAGAAGGTGATGATTTCGACGGCAGCGACTATCACCCATTCCAGGTTGTATGGGAAGAGGAACTGAAAATTGTAATCCGATTTAATAGAGCTTGAAAAAGGCGGTATGGGCTCTAAGAGGCTGAATCTAATGAACTAAAGCAATGATGTAGAACATTGTAGACCAATAATTTGAACTTCCTTTAAATTGGAAAAACTAGCAAACGTCAACTGAAATGAGTAACTATAAAAAAAAACATCTGCGAGCTAAAAAAAGTGTTCTTAATATTCTGACAAGCACGTCGTCTGTTCACTGTATTATGATACCGTATTTTTCTAATAGAAGCCCGCCTAAACTGTCAACGTTAAGCTCAATTATCTCAAGTTCTTTGAAAGATATGAAACATTTGTCTACTGATGAAATATTGGTGATATTATGCTAAATAACTTATCTGTTGACAACCTTTTAATATTTTTTCATGAATCGAGATAATCGAGTTTAAAGTTAGTGGGTTAAGTGAGCTTTTAACAGAGATAGTTGAGCTCAAAGAGCAAGGCTTAACTAGTCTATTATGGCTTTTTGAACTAAAAACCTCAAAAACTAGGTGCAACTCAACATTTTTTAACCGGAGCTGTGAAAAATCTAAGATCACATCATCAGCTGTACCCACAGCTCTTTTCTCAATCCTCACCTTAAAGAGCACACTGAAGAATCGAGTACAATAGATGTAGATGATGACGAGTATATAAAATTGGCGGAATAAGCGCAATTTTTCCAAGTTCGCTGCAGCTTTTCCATCCGTCATCGCTCCGTCATGCAAGTGTTGAATGGACCTAAACGTCATTGAATGTCAGCATTTTCAATAGGATTGAAAACCAACCACACAATTGGTAGTCCAACCAGAAAACAACATAGGATGTCAAGGAAGACAAACAGTTTCAACCAAAGCTGATGGCTCTCCGTTCCGATTTCAGATTCGCTGAGGATAATCAGAAAGATGTTGTCGAGAACCTAAAAATTCAAACTTTTTGGATTTTTTAAACCACCAAATTTACCTGGACAGGAAGGACAAACATGAACAGTTTGCGGTCACGATCTGTCAAGAACTGCTTTATAAATGTGTAGCCTGTTCCAATGAGAATGAGTGTTCCAAAAAGAAGAAGTCCTTTGAGTCTGAAGAGTTTCAAAAATCAAACACTAGTTTCATTTTAAAAAAAACTCTACAAATGAGTGATGTAGTAGAGAACCGCCCAAATCTCCTTTTGCATGCCATATTTGCTCAAAAAATAGTAATTGAGTCCGTGGAAAAACAGTGACACGGATTTTAAGAAGACCAACACCGTCATAAACTTGTGAACTCTATAGATGTTGTCAGAGCTGTAAATTAAAGTTTTTGGTGAATCGTTTATCGTTTTGTTACCTGGATCTACACAGCAGATGACACCAGTAAATAGACAGACCGAAGAACATAATTGACATGTATAAATAGATTTGAGGTTTTGGGATTTCGCTCAATGAGAGATAGGAGTGCCTGTTCCTCTCCACCATATCGACTGTCAGGTCCACAGCCACACGATCACTAAAATCAAGAAGATTCTTTTTATTTCATCATCTCTGCAAAAATAAATGAGCACCTGTATCCGTGTGCTCTGTAATTGTAGCAGTTATGGAACATAAAAACGTACTGTCCGACAATTTTTCCGTCAAAACGGATCGACATCTGCAAGCAATATTAGATCTAGTTGCTAATTCAGGAAATAAGTCGCTTACGTTTGTCGAAAAATGATTCTCATTGTCCACTTGCAGCGGAATATAATTGTCGTAGGCGATTTCTGGTGCACCGGGGTTCAGAAACCTTCCGAACAAATTGCGGAACCACCCACGCTGCTCGATAGGGGCCGTCGGGTTATCCGGTTTGAGCTCTTCCGGTTTTGGTATGCGAACGGCATCTTGAGTTTCACAGCTGAAAAAAATTTTCTTTGAACTTTCGATCTATAAAATGGGAGAACACATACTCTCTGGCAGATTCGCAGATCCGTATGAATTTTCCGATTCCACTGCGATAAACTCGCAAGCGTTTGTTCGGGAGGTCGGCGAAGAAGAAGATCGCGTCGTAGCCTTGGTCAGTTTGCTGGAAAAGTGAAAATTAGGGCAAAAATTGAAATAATTATCAATTTTTGTTTTTTATTATCATTCTTGTCTGTCGGCAACGAATATTGGGGCCGAAAATTTACTAAAAGGCTTATTGTCGGTTCAAAATCCCTGTTTTCTTTTTTGCAAGCTATTTAATTGTGCTTTCCTTTCCAAATTCTTAAAAATGTGTTGGATTTTTTCAGAGAATTTTTTTTGTGTACTTTTATACTTTTTAGAATTACATCGTTTCGTTTAACCTCAATCCGCCTGTTTTACCACCACGCCAAGAGCTATTTTTTTCAGCTGTCCATTTTTTGAATACTCATTTACAGTTCCTCATTCTCCCTTATTTTCTAATCACTCACTTGTAACTGGCAAACGTGAGGATTCGATCCGACTCCTCTCGTTATAATCGAGCCCAAAGAAAGCGAGAATCCGATGACACCCTGCAAAAATCGATATAATTCCACCTTTCCTGTGCTGCTCTCACTAATTTATCGGCATTTTCGGTCGAGTCGACAGAATCTTTGATTTTTTCAGGAACAGTAAAATTGTTGATAGCAATGTTCAGAGTACCGTTGACACCATATCCAAATTCACTGATAATGATATTTCTTCGCGAGTCGTCCTGTAAATATTAGTTCTTCGTTTTGTTTGCCTATTTTGTGCCTACCCGGAGTGCTAGATGATGGAATTTGCCTGTTATTGTACAGATAACAATGGTCAGAAGTAATATTCGAAGCCACATTCAAGTTTTTATCTGTAACAAAGGTTTAAAGTTTTTGAAAACAAAAAAAAACGCATTTCAATAGATTTTTCTGTCGAACCAAAAACACGAGGTATGCAATTGACTGGTAAAGACTTTTAGACGTCGAATACTAAACTGAAATGTCACTCGGCAAACTTGAAAAGGGCGTATGGGCGCATCGAAACGTCTGTTGTGTCTAAAAACAAAACTATGGAGAGGAAAATGCGCTCCGTTGATAGAGAGGAGACTCTCGCCTTAATGCATCAAGTAGTCGTAACGTCTTCTCTGTGTGGCTAATGGAGGTCAAACCAAAATAAAGAGGGGTATGAGAAATCGGGTCTTCTCTTAACACTGATGACTAATTTGATGGGAAATAAGCCCAATTATCTTGAAATGAAGGGTTTGAGAATGACTGAAAAGAGAACGCCTATTCCGGAAGCATAACTTGACATCTATATTCACAGTTTTCTTACTGATAATCTCAGTAAGATTAGTTGAGTTAATTTCAGCTCTCCTTACTCTCATTTTTAGGATGATTTTTTCATATTCCAATATTTCTCGGATTCCCAATATCTTCATCCAAAATGCCTTTTAGGGTTATCTCATCGTCCTATCCCAGAGATTTTTATCTTCAAGCTATTCTTCTCTTATTGCATTGGGTCATCTACAGCAGCCACTGCTATTATCGTCGCAAGTGGAGGCCAAGTATTCTTTGTGTCTCCAGTCCTGACCTACATTTTTCTGTGTATCGACGGAGATGTTCTTTTGAAAAAGATCGAGTTCATTTCGTTTCGTATTCGTTGATTTTGCCTTGATCCAATTGGATTTTATTTTGTGATCTCAGCAAAGGTTTATAAGGATTGATTCTTTTGGTTCTTATGTATTAGATTTTCAGAAGCCAAGCCAATAGTTTTTTAAGGATCTTAGATTAACGCCAAAATCAAAATGGATTCGATTTGTTTTTTTTTTACAATTTCGGAATCCAATTTTGAAATTCAATCCATCCAGTAGAATCAACTTGTGTTCTATAGACTTTGCCGTTCCTCGTAATGTTTTAAGTTTCCTTCTCTCATTAAATGTCTCTAATTCATCCAACTTCCCATTTTTATGTATTTCCAATTTTAGGACGTTTATACGCAACGCGACCGCGACGCACCACTCTCCTGACGTGTATTAGGAGTTGTCTTCCATCCTCGATTCTCGGCCAGCAACGTTGCGCTCAACGATTGGTCGGCTGACTCTGCGTCTCTTCGCTCTTTTACTGCGAGAGCCTTCGTTTGTGCTGACGTTGCCTTCTCCCCGCTCTTTAGGCCACGTCGACATGTCGGGCAGTTCGGACGTGTTTCTCTTCCCCCTCTTGCCCTCTTCTCTCGCTCTCCATTTCTGTTACCTTCACAATCCCACCGTCAGTTTGCTCTCTTCTTTTCATCGGATGACGGTACTCCTCTTTCTCAGTTGACCTTGAGCATTCGGGCGGTCTGTATCGGGAGACATTAATGCAGAAGGCGACCTACAAACCAAGGAAATCCGCACGCATTCTGTCTCAAGGACTGACCTTGGATGGCTTTCTCCGTGATCCCTTTTTGATTTAATATCCCATTCTCTCATCTTTCTTCTTTTTTCTTCTTGTAAATTTTTTAGGCCTAAATTAATTTTTCTCTTTTTCCAGGAAGGTAAATCAAACACACAGTATGAAGACCTTATTCTTATTGGGCCTCATCGCCCTCACCGCCGTCAGTGTCTACTGCGAGGAAGAGGAAAAGACCGAGAAGAAGGAGACCAAGTACGGAACCATCATCGGTATCGATCTCGGAACCACCTATTCCTGTGTTGGAGTCTACAAGAACGGACGTGTTGAAATCATCGCTAACGACCAAGGTAAGCAAACTTTCTATTTTAGGAATTAGCAGGATCATCCTCTCACTAACATCATTTTGACGAATTATTTTCCAGGAAACCGTATCACCCCATCGTACGTTGCCTTCTCTGGAGAGCAAGGAGACCGTCTTATCGGAGATGCCGCCAAGAACCAGCTCACCATCAACCCAGAAAACACCATCTTCGATGCCAAACGTCTCATCGGAAGAGATTACAATGACAAGACTGTTCAAGCCGATATCAAGCACTGGCCATTCAAGGTTCTCGACAAGAGCAACAAGCCATCCGTCGAAGTCAAGGTTGGAGCTGACAACAAGCAGTTCACCCCAGAAGAAGTCTCCGCTATGGTTCTCGTCAAGATGAAGGAGATCGCCGAGTCCTACCTCGGAAAGGAAGTCAAGCACGCCGTCGTCACCGTCCCAGCTTACTTCAACGATGCCCAGCGTCAAGCCACTAAAGATGCCGGAACCATCGCTGGATTGAACGTCGTTCGTATCATTAACGAGCCAACCGCCGCCGCCATCGCCTACGGACTTGACAAGAAGGACGGTGAGTTAGTAGAGAGAAAACAGAAAGACCTCTAATATTTGTACGTGGACTACCTTTACCAATGACCGTTTTGTGCAAACAATAGACTTTCGGTCAGTGACTGGTACAGGTTCGCTCATTCGATTGAGGCAATGACAGTGCTGTGTTTGCACAACTCTAGATCCAAATCTAGTGTTTCGAAAACTAGATTTGCTCATTAATAGGGAATTGAGGGACTAGACAATGAACAATAATGTTTTTTCAGGAGAACGCAACATCCTCGTCTTCGATCTTGGAGGTGGTACCTTCGATGTGTCCATGCTCACCATTGACAACGGAGTCTTCGAGGTCTTGGCCACCAACGGAGACACTCACTTGGGAGGAGAAGATTTCGATCAACGTGTCATGGAATACTTCATCAAGCTCTACAAGAAGAAGTCCGGAAAGGATCTCCGCAAGGACAAGCGCGCTGTTCAGAAGCTCCGTCGTGAAGTCGAGAAGGCCAAGAGAGCTCTCTCCACCCAACACCAAACCAAGGTTGAGATCGAGTCCCTCTTCGACGGAGAAGACTTCTCTGAAACCCTCACCCGTGCCAAGTTCGAGGAGCTTAACATGGACCTCTTCCGCGCTACCCTCAAGCCAGTCCAGAAGGTTCTTGAAGACTCTGACCTTAAGAAGGATGACGTTCACGAGATTGTTCTTGTCGGAGGATCTACCAGAATTCCAAAGGTTCAACAACTCATCAAGGAGTTCTTCAACGGAAAGGAGCCATCCCGCGGAATCAACCCTGATGAGGCCGTCGCCTACGGAGCCGCCGTTCAAGGAGGAGTTATCTCTGGAGAGGAAGACACTGGAGAGATCGTTCTTCTCGACGTCAACCCACTTACCATGGGTATCGAGACTGTCGGAGGAGTCATGACCAAGCTTATCTCCCGTAACACCGTCATCCCAACCAAGAAGTCTCAAGTCTTCTCCACCGCCGCCGACAACCAACCAACTGTCACCATCCAGGTAAGTAATGATTGACATAAGGGGAATGTTTTGAAGGATGGAGAGTGAACTAGCCAGATAATTATTTTTTTTTTCTTACAGGTCTTCGAAGGAGAACGCCCAATGACCAAGGACAACCATCAGCTCGGAAAATTCGATCTTACCGGAATCCCACCAGCACCACGTGGAGTCCCACAAATCGAGGTTACCTTTGAGATTGACGTCAACGGAATCCTTCACGTTACCGCTGAGGATAAGGGAACAGGAAACAAGAACAAGATCACTATCACCAACGACCAAAACAGACTCAGCCCTGAAGACATCGAGCGTATGATCAACGACGCCGAGAAGTTCGCTGAGGATGACAAGAAGGTCAAGGAGAAAGCTGAGGCTCGCAACGAGCTTGAGTCTTACGCCTACAGTCTTAAGAACCAGATTGGAGACAAAGAAAAGCTCGGAGGAAAGCTTGATGAGGATGACAAGAAGACCATTGAGGAGGCCGTCGATGAGGCTATCTCTTGGCTCGGATCCAACGCTGATGCTTCTGCTGAAGAGCTCAAGGAGCAGAAAAAGGAGCTCGAGGGCAAGGTTCAACCAATTGTTTCCAAGCTTTACAAGGATGGAGGAGCCGGAGGAGAAGAGGCTCCAGAGGAGGGATCCGACGACAAGGACGAGCTCTAAATCAATCGAATTCTCGAACGCTAATAATAATAATTTATTTGTTTTTCATGTTGAAACTCTCCTAAATTGTTTTTGTTTTTACCAACCTTACAAAAAACCAAAATTTCCCTTTTTTTATAGTTTTTTCTTCTTTCCTTTTCTCTCATCTTCACACGCGGTCTAAATAGTGTTTTAACTAAGAAATGGCTCTCCCTCTCATCACCTGGAAGTACCTTTGTCATAGAACCAACTCTTGTGTTTGTGAAAAATTTCCCAGCGTTTTACTTTGCCTTACTGGTCTTCATCTATTTATTTGCAATTGTCATATGGACATTGTTTTGGAATGAATTTCAATTTATTTTTTGAAAAATCCGGTTGTTTTTATTTTTTTCAGTGTCTGATAAGAAGTGGTGATAGGAAACTATCATTGTCAATTGAAAAATTCTTAGAGATACAACGAAGATGAAAGGATCATTTAAACTATTATTGATAAAATTCTGGAAAGAATAAAAATAGATTATCGAACATTTTTGAACTTCATTGAAATGAAATACTCGAAATACCTGCAGAAATTATTATTTCAGGTGTGAATTTTCCAAAAATAGATTTTCCGAGTATAATTGGAATAATGGAAAAAATTCAGACAAAACTTGAATGTGAGCAAAAAAGAACTGGATACGATGTCATTTCAAAAATGAATATGAAAAAAATGCAATGGAAAACTTATGAAAATTTTTATTTACAAGAGCTAAGACATGAAATTTTTTATTTACAATATTTCGTAACTTTTATTTTCCTCCTGGGAATCCATAACGTCCATAACCTCCTGACGGCTGGTTGAATCTGTTGGATCTGTAATCCTTTTGTCCCCAATGAGTCTGTCATCTCCAGTCGTCATAAAGATTGTTCAAGTCACGCTCGTATCCTCCCCGACGTCTGTAGTTGTCCCGTACATCGTGACGGTTGTAGTCCCATAATCATCAAGATAATAGTTTTACTCACTTTCTCAAGGAATCTCTCATAAGAGCTTGGCCACCCATAACGATTTCCACCTGGTCCAGCGAGAGCGGTAGCCAAAAGCATGACGAAGGCCAAGAATACAGCGAAGGAGTTCATCGTTGATGATGATGTTATGACCATCGAATTCAATTCTTTTTATATCAAATTTTCTAGCAGCGTCTTATGTCTTAATGTTTTAACTTCCCGTCATTGTTTTTTATTAGCTGGTCAACTTTGTCAAGTTCGTTATCATCGCCATGAACTGTCAGACCGTGATGTTAGCGCGGTGTGATTTGACCAATAACAATAGAAAATCGGAAGTGATAGCTAAAGTTCAGTTTCAAGTAAAAAAAAAAGCTAAGAAATATACGGTGATTCATAAAAGTGATGTCATACAAAAATTGCTTGGAATTATAACAGTGACAAGAGCTTGAACAATGGTCCCATGAAAAATCGTAAAATAAAATTACATAGAGTTAGCTTTCGCATGTTTCCAGCAAGTCACCTTTTTCACCAGGTAAAATTGAAATCACACGAAAAGGTTCAAAACGCCAATGATCTTATCTACAAACCGAAAGGTCTCGAGTCGACATGTGGGTCGACCGACAACAAGAGCGACAATGCCCTCACGCGTTTACACTGTGTCTGAGTCGACTCGCGTCGACTAATGCCTCACGCGTTGCGTGTCGACGCGTATCGACACAAGTCGACATTCTCCGAGAGGACTACACGAGAGCGTGAACTGAACTATTTGATTTTGCACGTTTTTTAGTGGATTTTTTATGGTTTTTTAGCATTGTGTTGCTCTGAAAATGAGCAACTTAGTTTTTTGTTTGTTTCGTCTAAGAAAACCGACAACAACTTGTATTTTTGTATTACATATTATGCTTATCCGGCGTCGATGAACCTTCTGGCTGAAAATTTGATTAAAGGCGCATTGCCGGTCCTGAAGCAAAAACAACGACTGTTATCACAGATAAATTTGTTCGTCTTTGATACAGTACTTTGGCATTTTCTATTTTTCTATTATTTTCCTCAGATTTTTGCTTATTTTTGTTGAAATTCTTCACATTCCCATGAATATTCGGCAGAATTTTCTTATAAAATAGAAATACTGTGTAAAATAGGTCAAAATAAAATAATTCAGAAGTACCGTATTTAAGACGCACAAACTTTTCTATAAAACCCGTAGCTATTTTCGTTTCAGAACCGGCATTGCGCATTCAGATACATTTTTGGACACAAAGTATATCACCGCCGGACAGGAATAATAGTACTACCTTTGTTATTGATTTAAGACATAATTTGAAGTGCATTTTTTACAGATGACATCGAAACAGAAATCGCTTGTATGGGATTTTTTCGAAAAAACAGAAAATGGAACTCAAGTTGTTTGTCGAAAATGCCAAACTAAATTAAAATATTTTGGATCGACAAGTGGAATGTTGAAACACGTTGAATCAAATCATCAAGATGAATTGATAGTAATGGGGGACGATAAAATTAAAAGTGAACCGATTTCGGCTTCAATACAATATGCGAACATATCGGAAGCTCTGAACGAATTAGCTTCGTAAGTTGTTCTGTGAAAAATAAAAATAATGAGAAATCTTTTCAGGACCATGTGTACAAACGGTGCTCCTCTCAGTTTGCGAACAACGGTAAAACAGAAATCGCTTGTCTGGGATTTTTTCGAAAAATCAGAAGATGGAACGCAGGTCAGCTGCCAAAAATGTCGAATTCAATTAAAATATTTTGGAGCGACAAGTGGAATGTTAAAACACATTGAATCAAATCATCAAGAAGACATGAAAATAATCGGAAATGCTGAAATTGAAAGTGAAAGAAATACGCTCCCAAATGAACATTCTAACATACTAGAATCTTCGAACGAATTAGCTTTGTAAGTTTGTTGTGAAATTATAAAGTAATAAGAAATCGTTTAAGAATCATGTGTTCAAGCAGTTTTCCGCTTGGTTCGCAGATGACGTCGAAACCAAAATCGCTTGTCTGGGATTTTTTCAAAAAAACAGAAGACGGAACTAAGGTCATTTGTCAAAAATGTCAAACTAAATTAAAATATTTTGGATCGACAAGTGGGATGTTAAAACACGTTGAACAGAATCATCAGGAAGATATGATAAAAATGGGAAAAAGTGCAAATAAGCGAGAAAAAACTTCGGCCTCAATTAAAGGTTATAACGAATCTGAAGCTTTGAATGAATTAGTTTTGTAAGTGCGTTACGAAATTATGAAAACAATGATAAATCGTTTCAGGACCATGTGTACAAGCAGCGTTCCTCTCAATATCGGTAAAAATGAGCACTTTCAAAAGTTCATTCACAACTTAAATCCTGAGTTTTCCTTGCCCTCCACTGATGGAGTTCTTCGTCATATTGCTTCCACCGCCAAATCCTATAGAGATCCAATAAAAAACCAGTTGCAGTCGGTACGAGTAAGTTTTTAAAATGTGAAATCACATGGATATGTTGTTTTCTTTCAGAAATGTGTGATTTCTTTAGATGGCTGGGAAGGGAAATTTGGGAACAAAACTCTCTATGCGATGTTCTTGTATTTTGTTGATAACAAGTTCAGGAGAACAAAATTAGTATGTTAGAGAAATTTATAAAGCTCAATGTTGTGTTTTTACAGTTTCTTGGCATTTGTCACATAGAAGAACCCGTTGATGCTTCAAAAATCGGAAAGTTTGTTCTAGACTTGTTGATAGAATACGATTTGGATTTTTCGAAAGTCTTGGGAGGAATTTGTGAGTCCAGAAGTAACGCCATTACTTTTCTGAAAAGAAATGGCAGATATCAGTAAGTTCCACTTGCAAATCTTCAAAAACGTAACTTTTTTCCGTTTGCCTTGTGGTGCCCACTCCTTCGCAATAATCATCAAAAGTGTATCAGAACTTTCTTCGGTGAAGGAGGTGTTTATCAAAATCAATAAGCTGGCTTCTCATCTCTCCAGTTCAAAAAACGAAAGAGAACTGTTTCAAAAGTGAGTAAAAGGCGATGTACATCACAATATGGAAAAAAATAAAAAATTTCAGACGATCGAAGCTTCACAAAATCTCCAGAAGAATCCCATTGCTCTTCTCAGACACTCTGTGGGGTGGCTGTGTACTGTTGGCTCAGGCATACTCTGATCACGTAAGTAAAAAATTTCAACTTGTACAAATAATTCCTTCCAGTATGAATCGATCAGCACCCTTAGCAATTTCCAATCGTATCTTCTCTCACAAAGCGAGAAAAGTACATTGGATGAGTTTTTGGAATGTACGAAACCGTATATGGAAGCAATTCAAATGTCAGAGAAGGAAGAGACATATGGTTCAGAAATTATAGTACAGTATGCGGGTCTTCTAGATTTTCTTTCAAAAATAGATCAGGACAGTGATATTGTTCGATTATTGAAAGAAGAAACCACTCTGAGGTAACTGGAATAAATTGAAAATGTGACCAGATTATTTTCAGATATGAAGAGTATCTTCAAAATGATATGGCACTCTTCGCATTATATTGTGATCCTCGATTTGTATACTTAGCGGATATTTTGAGAAACATCACCTGGTCTGATATTGAGGAAAAAGTCTCAACTTACTGTGGTATTAACAAAATTTGGAACGATTTTGAGTGGGAAATTAATTGGAATTTTCAGACGCTTCACGCATCGTCAACGCAACAACATCTAGCTCTGAAGGACCTCCTGAGAAAAAATCAAAAAATGATGAGTCGTATTTCACAAAATTTGTGCTGTCAAAAAGAGACACCACCACGACCGCGGAATCAAGACAAGTATGATATCGCAATGTTAAATAAGTTCTCATACTTATTTTACAGACTGAAATTGTAGCCTACCAATCAACTATTCAATCTTCAAGACCACCGACATCTACGGATCCATTGAACTTTTGGATGGTAAATTCTGAACGCCTTCCAAATCTTTCAATACTGGCGCGCCATATTCTTTCGTCTCCATCGTCTACAGCTCAAACTGAGCGCCTTTTTAGGTTAATAAAGATTGAAATTTCCGAAGACTCGAACGAGTGTTTTTCAGCAAATGCGGAAATCTGCCAAAGTGCACTCAAAAATCCCGAGTGCCACTAACTTCGTTCAACGATATTATGCTGAATGTGACTCTTGCGGATCTTCAGTGAGTTGAAACATATTAAAGATAAAAGTGAAAACAGAAAAAACATTTCAGGCGTGGAACTCTGAGTGATTGCGACTCTGATGATTTGGATGATGATGAGGATGAAATCGAAGTTGATCCATTTCCAAATAACTCTGACAGCTTCCTCAACTTGTTGCAGTAACTCCTCCAACAATCCTAATTGTTTTGATTTATTAAAAATTCGTTCTACATTCATCTTACTCAGCCGTTAGGGACGAAATATTTGAAAGATTTTTTTCTAAATATGATATCATATATTTTTGCGACTTTATCAAATACTTTCAACTGGTACGAACTATGTAGTTTGATTATAAAATTTTTGAGAAGTGCATTTTTATACTTTGATTCTTTATTCACTTTTTTTTGTTTATCAAAGAAGCAACAGAAAAAAGGGAAAAACAGAAATAGTATTCAATGTTCAGAAACGCAGAAACGCAGACACTCGAACGACGCTCCGCTCATTCCGAATGCGCCGAGTTTACCGTAAATCGACCCGATTTTTGAGAGCTGAAACTGCTTTGAAGAACATTTTTAGCCTTCGTGTAGAAATTTCAAAGTTTTCATTTTTTGTTATCCGTTAAAATCAAGACTCAAACCTACAGATTTGATTTTTTCGCTGCGATTAACGAATTTGAACTTTCAATTTCTATATTTTCAGGTCTACGCACACAAATGACCGATTTACAGCGATTTTGTCAAAATTCTGCTTACTTTTGTCTGGGAAAATGGTGAGTATTCATCAAAATGTAATTTCTTTTCAAATATAATTATAGATTAGCTAGAATAAAGCCGGGAATCTTAGAAGGAACAGTGCAGTAGACAAATGTTCCGTCAGCACTGTGCATCCAGCCACTATGTCACTTGGAGAAGTAGAACTGATTAATTGGTGAAAAAGTGTTGCGAAAACTATCGAGAATTGAAATTAATGCTTTCTAATTGGTTGATGCCGGAAATTTAGGAAGAAATATCCTTAGAAGTCGTTGGACAACTGGAATTCGTCAGCACTGTGCATCGAGCTACTTTATTCGTTTGATGGTAAAAGGCCAGTAATAAATTCGTATTAGTAAGAGATTGGCATCATCGAAAACAGAAGAAAACAGAGATCAATCGTTTCAGGGATGCCGCAGTGCTGTCGTCGACTCAATAAAACATCGTTGTTGCGCGTAAGATGCGCGGCAAAGAGGATGAAATTAGAAACCGATCTCTAAACGTAATGTAATGCAATGATCTGGCGAAACTCGACAAATTAGCAGCAATCAACTGCGCCAATCAAACGAAAATGGTCTCTTGAAAAGTTTTTTTGATTACAGCCAGTGTGCCTTATCGACAAAGATTTTCCGATTTTGTCGACAAATTCACCTGAAGAATTATCGATAAATTTGTCGATAAAAAACGATAAACTTTTGTCGATAAATTATCGGTAAATTTGTCGAAAGTAATTTATCGACAAATTTATCGACAAAATTTTGTTGACAAATTGTCGATAAATTTTTCGTTTTCTTTGTCGATAAATTTGTCGAACGGGGCATTTGTCGACAAATGATCGACAAAAAATTGCTATTGACCGCCGGAATTACTTGTAAAAAATCGTATCTCATCTTTTCTTTTCTAGGCCATCTGACCTGGTGGCCTAATTTTTCCAACACGAATTTTCTATGCCACCAAACTTTTTGACCTGAAAATGATCTGATGTTAACATGGTGGATTTTTTAGCCATTTTAACATGGTGGCCTAGACTTTTGCAATATGAGTTTTCTAGGCCACCAATATTTTTGACCTAGAAATGGTCAGAAATTCACCTGGTACATTTTTTGAGCCATTTTGGGGTGGTGGCCTAACATTTGCAAGTTGAGTTTTCTAGGCCGCCAACTTTTTTGACTTAAAAATGATCAGATATTCATCTGGTATGTTTTATTGGCCATTTTTACATGGTGGCCTAGAAAACTCACCGCGCGAAAGTNCGCCACATTCTAAAATGACCTAAAAAACATCAGGTGAACATCAGATCATTTCTAGGCTAAAAAGAATCGTGGCCTAGAAAATTCGTGTTGTGAATGTTGGGCTACCGAGCCATGTAGCCTATAAAGTTTTCCTGGGTAAGTTCTTCCATCATTCTAGGCGTCCTAGGAAAAAATGGTAACGATACGATTTTTACAAGTAATTCCGGCGGTTAATAGCAATTTTTGTCGACAATTTGTCGATAATTTTGTCGAAAAATTGTCGACAAACAGCATTTTTATCGACAAATTTATTGACAAATTGTCGATAAATGGGGTTTTTATCGACAATTTGTCGGTAATTTTCCGATAAATTTACCGGTAAATACCGTAAAACCTCTAATAGAACGACACCCGGATCGTCCACTTTGAGCCTATATATCTCATTTTCTGTGAAAGATATCAAAAAGTGGCTGACTAGTAAAATGTTGCTGATATCCTGATAAACATTTTACTAGTTAACCACTTTTTGATATCTTTCA